CTTGGAAAATCCATCCATTTTTTGTCCATACTAATATTTCATTAAAATATAAACAATTATGAAAAATACACGAAAAAAATATTAAATTAAAATAAAATCTTCAAAGAGCTGCAAAGTCATTTTATGTACTGGAACAAAAAAAATACTTGAAGTACCTATTTTTTAAGTATATTTCAACATATCTCATTAGAGATATACGACAACTTAAAACCAAAGATTTTCATGGCTAATTAAAAAAAAAAAAAGTATGAAGCATATATAGAATCATACAGTAGCTACACAAAGTTGTCAAAATGCCCAATATAATGTTCATAAATATTTAAGGTCATTTCATCATCAGGATAGGTGCAATATATATCTGATACAAGAAACCTAAGAAATCACAAATTCATTATACACTACAAAAAAGAAGAATCAGACTAACACTCGGATTAAAAAAAAAAAAAAAAAAACTCTGTTTCTAATTTTATCGAGAACAAGACCCAAAGAAAAACATTAAAACAAAACTTAATCTTGAATCAAATTACTGCAAATAAATCGAATTAAATTGAATAAATTATACTGAAGTTATTGAATTCAATTCATACCACAAAATCAATAAGATTCTTTGACGAAAAACCCCTTAAAATTCTTAATAATCAGCAAAAACCCCAACTTGCAATTTTACACTGAACATATAAAAAAAACAAAGATGGCAGATTTAAAAAGAAATTAGCAACAACAACTGATTTTACCTCGACGGGGTGTGCAAACCGACGGGTTATCTTCGAGTTCTTTTGCTGATTGAGTGCGTCGATATTTCTCCAGGAATTTGAGTTCGTATGCAAAATTCGTCTTCAATTCTTTTTCTCCGTGTTCTAGGTATGAAAATTGCCAAAGAATTTGCTTCTTTCTCGCGGGAGTCGTAATCGAAGTTTTCAGAGAATTTGGCACTTTGTATAGTTAGAAGGAAAAGAGAAAGAAAAAAAGGAATAGAAAAATTTGGGGAGAGTTAGTAGGAGACGTGATTTCTTCCCCACTAAATTGAGGATGTAAATTAAAATTAATTATTTTTATTGATTTAATTTAATGTGATTATAACATTCTTAATTAATTTCCTCTATTTTGTGTTGGTTAATTAAGAGCTATTAAGACGTCTTATTAATACCGTCACAAAATAGATGATATATTATGACAATTGATTTAAGGGGTCATTAGCAATAAACCCCTCATATAGATAATAAATGATGATATGTCCACCCCTTAAATCCTTCTTTGTGATAAACCCCTAGAATTTGTATTTCCAATTCTACCCTTATGTCAATTACCATAATTAGTCTCAATTATTCATTTTTTCTCTCTTTCCATAACAATAATCTAATTCCTAAAAATTTGCTTCCAAATTCCTAAAAATTTGCTACCAAATCAAAAAAAGATGATTTTTTTTATTTTTTTAATTTTTTATTATTTCGAATTTTTAGCGATTTTGTATTTATTTATATTTTTAATATTTTTTCTAATAAAATATTTTTTTTATTTTTTTTAAACAAAAAATTGATTTTATTTTTCTCGACAGATTTATAACTCCGAATATGACTATAGTTGAATATGGCTATTATGTGACTACGCTGTGTATAACAGTGTAATTAACATATTGTAGAAGTATAATTATTAAGATAACAATAAGAATATGACTATTATGTGAAAGTGACTGTGCTTTGTAAAACATTATAATTAACAGACAGTAGAAGCATGATTCTTAACAAAAAACAGAGAGAATGTGACTATTATGTGACTACGGTTTGTATAACAGTGACTGAACATGACAGTGAGAATATGACTATTATAGGACAGTGAGAATATGACTATTATTTGACTAGGTTCTGTGCAATGTGACTACAAGTAATCTGCACTTGAAAAAACTTGCAATATTAATAGCAAAATACATTGCAAAAAGAAAAAAAAAAATGACTAAAAAAACAAAAAATAACTAATGTGATCTTTCAACAATGGCCATCGACACATGTTTTTTTGTTGCGGTATCCAACTCGGTTGCACCGACTGCACTTAATCTTCCGTTTGATCTTGTGTGTTAAATATGACTACACTGTTGAATGTTGAACATATGCAGCACTACAAAAAGAAAAGGACAAATATAACTAAGTTATTAAACATGACTACTCTGTCAAATATGACTACTCTGTAAAATACACTGCACTACAACCGACTAATCTCGTATTTCAATGGGTTTTCCAGATCTAAACATTAAGAATATGCAGAATAACACAAAAATTAATAAAATCCAGAATAATGAGAGAATGAAAGAGAGAGAGAGAGAGCGAGAAAGATAGAGATAGAGAGAGAGAGAGAGAGAATATTACCGGTGGAGGAAACGGCATAACCTGAGGAAAAGAAACCCAGAGATGCCACACTTTCTCTCTCTAAACTCCCCTCCCCAATTATTATGATTTATTATTAATATTGTGATGATATTTTCGGGCTCGTAACCACCGCGAGCATGTATGCAGACTTTTATAATGGTGTGATGATGATGGTGTATTGTATATGATGGTCATGGTGAACGAGGGATATACATAAATGGGGATGGTATGGTGAGGGGGTAAAAATGAATTTGATGCGAGATCCGAATCTTTGCTTTACAGGCAAGAAATTACGGTTAAAGCACAGCTGTAAAAAGTTTTTCCCCCACACCAACAAGGGAATTGTTTTTTTGAAAGAGAGAGAAATAAAATTGTATTAGGTTAAAAAACCTAACACATAGGGGCACTTTAGTCTTATCATGGGTGGTAAGGGAGGTCTCACTAATTTAAATTGGGATATGGGTTATGGGAAAATTCTTTAAAATCAATTGGGTTTAGTTCAAAATATTTTCCAAATAAGGGGTGTATTGCATATTTCCCCTTGATTTAAAAGCGTCATAGCATGTATTTTTTTAAAATAAAAAAAACCGAAAAAAATTGTGATTAGAAAACGGTTCCGGCTATTTTAATATAAGGTGTCATAATAGATAGTTATTGAGACGTGTTTCAAAAGGCGTCATATTAAGGCGTCATGGGGGCGTCATTAAAAGCTGATTTTCTAGTAGTGTCTTGAAAGTCTAATCCACTCATCAAGTACATTACGCACAAGGCTATATGTAAACACATACAAGAAACGCGTCAAACCATTGACAAACGTCAATAAATAAACAACTCCCACGAAGAGATAACAACACCGACGACTCAAGTAACTTACATCGCGACATTTTGGTCGCGCTACGCGCCAACGCGCCTTCACTCCCCTCCGACACACGCTCCAACGCGTTTTCGCACACAATCAGGCCATACGTCAACGAGCGACTACTACTGTTTTTACTCTCGACACGATCTTTCACCCATTTCGACATGACCCCCACATCGACTCGAGAGTGGGGGGCTTAATGATATGTCTAATTGGGCCAACCCAAGGGACTTACAATTTATTTACCTACTGGGCCACGAGCCCAATATTGAAGACCAATATCCCCGAGGCCCAATCACCTTCAAATAAGGTTTGGGCCCAACGATCTCATCTAAGGTATAAATAACGATATTATTCATTTATTAAAGGTAAGCCCTATTATCTAAATAATACGAGGAGTCACATTCTCTCAATTATTTCTACTATCCGCACGTCTGACTTGAGCGTCGGAGGGGTTTCCGTCGGATCAACCCCCGACCTAGTTCACGTGTTCTTTGTTCGCAGGTATCTCATGGTCATCTAGCGCGTGAACAGTGATCCACTTTGCTCTCCCAGCTCCCTCGATCTCAACTACTTAAGGTAATCTATTTTTAGCATCGTCATGGACCTTAGCCATTTTGGGCTTAATCCAATTTAGGCTTGTATCATATTATGGTCATGGGACAAAGTATTATATTGTTTGCACTTTGCAGTTATGAAACTAAAATTGTGCTTTGATTGGATCCTACGTGGAATGTGAGCGGCCCTAATTTCCAAGAAGTTTACTTCATCAATATTTAGGATTTAACAAATGTGCAGCCCAATAAACTATCCAGCCCACTCTCGTTATCCTGTAAACCAAACTAGGGGTGTTTATCCGGCATCGTGGCAAACCGAAATTTTGACATGTATAGCATTGGAACAACTAATTCCGCTCGGTATTCGGTTTTTTATATCCGAAAATTCGTTAATACGGTATTACCAAATTTTATATTTTTTTGAATTTACATTTTATACATTATATTACAACACATTGTTTTTAATAGGAATTATGGTAATTCGGCAATTACCGAAGCAAACAGTATATTTTTGTTCAATAAACAATACTCCTTAGCAATATATTGTGTGTTGAGGGGGCGTACTGGAGATATTATATTAATAGTAAATGATATATTTCACTAATAGTTTAATCTTTTGGCTGAGATGGTCATTCAACACCTTCAAATTCTCACTCATTTTATCATATATTAATTTAAATTTAATGCATAATATCATAAATACCTTAGCAATCCGTATATACCAACATGATTACTTATTCACTCCTCGTCTTCTCTCAATTCTCTTTTGTTGCGGTCTCAAAATCTAATCAAACTATTCAATTCAAAATTCATTTGTTTGAGTTCAATATGTCAACACAACAAACCAAGCTTGAACACCTACGTATTTTTGTGTTATAAACTAAGTTTGAGATCGAACTCGATTATAAAAATTTGTAGAAAGTTTCAATTCATTCAAGCTCGGTTCGTAGTAGATTTGATTAAGAATTGTTTGAGGTCGTCGGATCAATTGCTCATCAAGCAAACGTTGTCAAAACAAACACAACTTTGAAAACTCGATAAACATTTTAAATGTGTTCAACTCCCATTTTATCTTCTTGCCAATTCGATTTCGACAAGCATTTCTTCTCCATTAATGATTATTCAAATACTTCAATAAAAAAATTCAAAAAAAATAATAAAGTTATCTTGTATTGCATTGATTGGAGCAAATGACAATCAACCAGCCAACCACCACAAGGGGCAAAACCGTCCAATTAAATATATATTCCCCAAAAGTCGTTACAACACTTTCTACACATATTTTTATCCAAAACAAAAAAAGAAAAGAAAAAAAAAATGTCTATCCAATCAACACACTTCTTCTTCATCTTCTTCATTCTACAGTTTCTCCAGCTGATCACTACTTTCTGCCATTGTTACACACCAATCCAGAAGCCAGTAGAATACCCATGCCTTCCACCGCACAACTCATACCCCTTCTGCAACACTTCTCTCCCCTTCAAAACCAGAGCTCAATCCCTAATCTCCCTCCTCCACCTCGACGAGAAGATCCAGCAGCTCTCCAACAACGCCTCCGCCGTCCCCAGGCTCGGTATCCCGCCGTACGAGTGGTGGTCGGAGTCCCTCCACGGAATCTCCTACAATGGCCCCGGCGTCTCCTTCAACGGGACAATCGAATCCGCCACGGGCTTCCCACAGGTCATCGTCACCGCCGCCGCCTTCAACCGCAGCCTCTGGTCGGCGGTTGCTGCCGCCGTCGCGGTTGAGGCCGTGGCGATGCGGGGCGCCGGCCAGGCCGGATTGACGTACTGGGCGCCGAATATTAATATTTTCAGGGACCCCAGGTGGGGCAGAGGGCAGGAGACGCCGGGGGAGGATCCCATGGTTACGTCTGATTATTCCGTGGCCTACGTCAGAGCTTTTCAGGGGCAAAATCGTCCGGTGGAGGACACATATGGGCGGCGGAGGAGAGTGTTGAGTGACGATGATGGTGATAGATTAATGCTGTCTGCTTGCTGCAAGCATTTTACTGCTTACGATTTGGAGAAATGGGGGCAGTTTACCAGATACAATTTCAACGCCATTGTAAGTTTCTTCTTTTTTCCTTGATTCATTTGGTACTTATCTATGATTGGATTTGATTGGATTGGATTGGATTTGATTTGATTGGCAGTGTCTAAAAATAATATAGTATGTGATAATCATATATTTGTGATTTATGATTATGCAATCCTTATATTGGATAAAGGTAAGTTACGAAAAAACCTCATCCTCTTTGGGTAATTACAATTGCGTTTTAACTATCATTTTAACTATGAATCTTCTTATACGTCCATATATTTAAATTGCCAAATTTAGTAGAATCTTTTAGATTATGTGGAATATTCTCTAGTTTGTACCCGTTTTGCCCCATTCGAGTTCCATATTTTGAAACAAGATGATCATAAAATGTGTCTTTTAGCTTGTAAATATCAGATTATGGTGCATTAGAAACTGTATTTTAGCACAATACGAGTACAAACTAAAGAACATTTCACGGAATCTAGAAGATTATGTTGAATTTGACACCATAAGAGTGAGACGTGTAAGAAGATTCATAATTGAGGATTTGGTTGTAATTACCCAATTAAGATGGGTTTTTTCGTAATTTGACCTTACCTCATGGGAGGGCCCGTAATATACCCCGTCGAAATTTCTTCATAGGATTGTGTAATTGTAGAAGTTGGGGTTGTATATGCTTGATTTAATTCTGGGCCCAAAACATTTGATACATCTTGATCTTGACTCTATTGTTGTGTATCAAAGTCCATCCTTATTCCCCAAAGCCATCCCCCACTGTCAGAATCGTACATATTTTACACGCATCCACATGTACACGTACGTATTTTTTCGTGTTAGCAATACAGTCCATACGTGTTTTAATGATGTTGTATTAACATTGTCTTGAGTCAGCACGTATAGTAATTATATTACGTCGATCCATTCCATATACAAAAACGAAAAATGAAGAAATTCTAGTGGTCTCTATTATTAGGTCACAGATCGAGATATGGCTGACACGTACCAAGTACCGTTCAAAAGTTGCATCCAACAGGGCAATGCCAGCTGTTTGATGTGCTCTTACAATGCCGTTAACGGAATACCGGCATGCGCCAACCACGACCTCTTACAGAAAGCTCGAAACGAATGGAATTTCAAAGGGTGAATTTTCTTTTCTTTTTTCTCTCTTCATATATATGCTTTTCTAATGAGAGCAAAAAAAAAAAAAAAGAAATTCCGATGCAAAAAGACTTAAAATGTGTGTGTCAAAAAACAGATACATCACCTCTGACTGCGATGCCGTGGCTACCATTTACGAAGATCAAAAGTATACAAAAACTCCCGAGGATGCTGTTGCAGCTGCTCTAAAAGCAGGTTTTAAAAGCGCTTCGGTTCATTAGATAAAATTCGCCTTTTTTTTGTTTTTTTTTTAAGTTTCAACTGTTTTTGGCAGGAACGGACATAACCTGCGGAACATATATGTCCCTTCACATGATGTCTGCATTTAAACAGGACAAAGTGTCGGAGGAAGATATCGATCGAGCCCTACTTAATCTTTTCACCGTTCAGCTCCGTCTTGGACTTTTCGACGGAGAACTCGCAAGAAATCGGTTTGCAGAAACAGGACCTCAAGATGTATGCAATTCCGAACACAGAAAATTGGCTCTCGAAGCAGTGCAACAGGGTATTGTTCTTCTGAAAAACGAGAAGAAACTCCTCCCCTTGGATAAACACTTGGTCTCTTCACTAGCTGTTATTGGTCCAATGGCTAATTCGACCAATCTCGGTGGTACCTATGTAGGTTCGTGTTCGTTTCAAAATATTGTCTAAGCTGAAATTTTTCTTCGGATATTGCGAGCTTATATAATATTCATTTCATTTTTTTTTTACTTAGGTGTTCCGTGCAACCCAATAAGCATTCTTGAAGGGCTTAAAGAATACGTAAACACTGTCTATCATGCTGTTGGCTGCCAAGATGTGTCTTGCAATTGGAAAGCTGATTTTGCAGAAGCGGTTTCGGTTGCTGAAAAGGCCGATTACGTGATTTTTGTGGCGGGTTTGGATTTATCGCAAGAAACGGAGGATCTTGACCGAAATACCCTCCTCTTACCGGGGTATCAGATGGAGCTCGTTCTTTCTGTTGCGGCAGTGTGTAAGAAGCCGTTGATATTAGTTCTTACCGGTGGTGGGCCCGTTGATGTGTCATTTGCTGTGGGGGACCCACGTGTCGGCGGGGTTATCTGGATCGGTTATCCTGGAGAAACCGGTGGGACCGCACTTTCGGAAATCATTTTTGGACAGTATAATCCAGGTTTGTGTGCTAATTCTTGATTTCAAATTCCTACATTTTTTTTTAGATTCAATCTCATACATTTTATAGCGTTTATTATCGAATTGCTGAAAAACTCCCCGTATTATAAATATTAGCAAAAATCCCCCTAAATGATGCATTTTGCTTGGTAGTTGCGTATAAAATTGAATCGTAGGGGGGTTTGCAAATATTTTTAACACGAGGAGTTTTTCAACAATTAAAATAATCACAGGGGTGATGAGTGTAATTAACCACCCATACTTCACACAAATTATTTTAGCACAATCTTGATTTTTGGGGAAATAATTAATAGGAGGAAGACTACCCGTAACTTGGTACCCCGAATCATTCACGAGCGTGCCGATGACCGACATGAACATGCGGGCCGACCCGTCTCGTAACTATCCGGGTCGGACCTACCGGTTCTACACGGGTGATCAAATATACAGGTTTGGATACGGGCTGAGCTACACAAGCTTCACTTACAAACTTTTATCAGCACCGAGAAGATTGAGTTTACGTGGGCCCACATCAAAGGCAGCTAGACAACGGAAGCACATGCTTTACCAGACAGGAAAAGACAACCTCGATTATGTCTACGTCGATGAGGTGGCGCGTTATTGCGGCTCGTTGAGGTTTGAGGTGGAAATTTCGCTGACCAACAATGGAGATATGGGTGGAGATGAAGTTGTGCTTTTGTTTGCGAAGGCTTCGAAAAGAATCGAGGGTTCTCCTGAAAGGGAGCTGATCGGATTTGAGCGTGTGCATGTAAAATCGGGCGGAAGTGGTCAAACTAGGTTTAAGGTTGACCCGTGCGAACAGTTTAGCACCGTTGATGTGAGTGGGGAGAGAATATTGCTGATCGGGGATCACATTTTAAAGTCGGAAAATATAGAGCACGTTGTCTCGATTGAGATGATATGATTCGCAAACCTTTCGGCGGCTTCTTTTTCTCGTTTTTTTTTTCGGTTTTATTTTACCGAATGAAGTTGTAATGCTTGTGTTCTTGAAAAAAAAATGATCGTGAAGAGCAAGCAATAATCTTTTCAGTGTGTGGACAAAATTATTGCAGAGGGGAAATTACAACAGAAGAACACTCACACACACACACACACACACACACAACCGTGTGGGTGTGTGTTTGGGTGTGATGATACATAAGACATTTGAATGGATGACGTGGAAAAAAGCATGGTGGTGAACACATGCATGTTTGTTGTTAATAATAATAATAATAGAGTGTGGTTGTGGTGTGTAGATTCTTGAATAATAATGTAAGCAAGAGAATGTATGTATGTACATGTGTATTATTGATGATGAAACCAACGCGGGAAACTCTCGTACTCTGCACACATGTGCAATACCAGCTCATACTACAACACCACCAATCTCTATCTTTATTGCAAGGGTAAATTACGACCACAATTGTCAAATTACAAAAAAGTCCCTCATGTTTTGATAATTACAACTCCTCTCTCAACTATATACACGTCCCCTTTTATGGTATCAAATTCAACATAATCTTCTAGGTTTCGCGGAATGTTCTCTAGTTTGTACTCATTTTGCACGAAAATGGAGTTTCTGATGCACCAGAATTTGATATATACAAGCCAAAAAACTCATCTTTATTCAAAATGTGAAGCTCAAATGGGATAAAGCGGGTACAAAATTGAGAATATTTCATATAATCTAGAAGATTGCAATAAATATGATACCGCAAGGGTGAATGTGTAAGAAGATTTATCATTGATGTGTGGTTGTAATTATCCAATCACAAGGGATTTTTTCGTAATTTGACCATACATCAGGGGTGGTCGTAATTTACCCTTATTGTAATTATTTGGGTTAAATATACTTACCACCTTAAAGTATAGGGGTTGTAACATTTAACCCCTTAATGTATCAAATGTAACAATTACTCCTCGATTAATAAATTCAAGGGCAAAATTCATTTTACACTCCTCAATTATAGACTTTGTCGCATACACACACCCCCTCTATTACGAAACGTATCAAATACCACCTACATAAAACGAATTTATTTATTTATTTCTCTAGTCATTTATAGTGTGGTTGTTCTTACTTTTAAGAAAATCCTTTTTCCTGTCGCATTATTTGTAGCCATATATATAGGGGTTGAAACTAGAAACTAGACCAAACAGGGTAGTATGTAAGTACCATTTCAAGTGTGCTAGTATTTTAGTATTTTGCCAAAGAATCTAACTAAGATTGTCTAGTGATTAAATTGTATATTGGGTCCTTCAAAAAAATTATAAAATAAAAAAAATAATATAATGGGGGTGTCCTAATCAGAATATTTTTTGAAATACCATCAATCCAAATTCAATCTCATCGAAAACAAAATATAAATGGGCCCCTACACGTGGGGCCCATTTTCGCCACTCCGAAAAAACCGTGCAATTGAAGCGATCACAACCACTCAATCTCACCCCCAAAATGTGGACCCCACATCATCAACCAAGAACCAGGCTATCATAATTTCAAATCCATAAAAAACGCGCTTTTTATACATTATCGATAAATTCCTATTGAAAAAGGGGAAATGCCGCAAAATCGCCGTAATCCCAAATCGAATTGAAAGATATTCCAATTTTCGTAAATCCAATTTAATTCTCTTAATTAACGATTCCGCGTGGACCCGAACGAAATCCGTCAGCCCGAAAAATCAGCAATCCATGTTGTTTTACAACGTTATCCCATACATGCTCGGGGCCAGTACTTCCTTCTCCACATGGACTGCTGCTTCATATTTTCACCATTAGTCCTTGTAGTTTGCCGAAATTACCAAATGCCCCTCTCCAACTTTCTTTCGAATTTGAATAGCCTTGTTTAATTGGAGGATTGTTTGTGTTTGACAATTTATACAAATATTATTTATTTTTTTATATAAAAAATATTAATTAAAGTATAAGTTTATGAGTGATCAGTTTATTGATGATGACTTATAATCTTGATACATTGTTTTCATTCAATCATATTAAAATATAAATATTTTATCCTTAATCTGATTTTAGTTTATAGTATCAATTAGTTTACAAGGTTTTCCTTAATTCCTTATTATTTTTTAAGCGTCGACGAACTCATACGATGAATGAAGTTTAGTTTATAATCTAAAAGTTCGGAGAGTTTTTTGATTTAACAGTTCTTTTGTAAATACTTCAATGTCGTATTTTTATATTTTCAAATCTAATTTATTAGAACATTTCAAACGTTTCAAAACACAAAAGTTGGGAAGTATAGTTTGTTTGCAACAGGGATGACAATAAAGTTCTATTCATTAGTTACCAACGGGGTATTCGCACAAATAAAATCAAGCTATAGGAATCATTAGAATATGGTAACAATTTCGGTAAAAAATACTCTCCGTCATGGTTTTGGTATAATTTGAGCTTTATTCATTGGACTTTGGGCACCCGATCATTTATTATGTAAACAGATACCCGCGGATATTCAATTATTGGTGATAATGCTTCTATATACTTATTATCTTTTTAAATTATTTTGGTATAGTTCTGGTTTGAAATATAATAAATAAGTTAAATACCCAAATTAGCAATAAAAAGAACCTTTTCATTAAATTTATTTTAATTATACAACATAGTTAAATGTTACTAATAATATCTTATTTTGAAAATAGTTAGTTAAGATTTCATATTTAGCAAACAAAAATAATATTTTAATGGGTAAATTCCACTTTACCCCCTTGTACTCTGCCCAAGAATCACTTTACCCCCTCGTACTCTTAATTTCGTCGATTTACCCTCTTGTACTTGTACAATTTTCCAATACAACCCTTTTCGTCAACTTTTTTCGATTTTGACTCTGACGCCATTTGGTCAAGAGTCAAAATATTGACGTAAATATTGAGTTTTTTCGATTTTGACTCTCGAGATTAGAAAATAGAAAGTTTCACACATTCATATATTTTTTTCTTTGCACTGGGTGGAATCGATCAATTTTTGGGTCTTGATTTTTACTAAGTTAGGGGTTCAATTTGGGGATATCTTGGAAGGGGAAGTGGTGGGAGAAGAATAAATGACAATATTGACGGAGGAGAAACGACGCGTTATAGGCAGTGGCAATTTTGTAATTTACAGAGTTGACCAAATGGCGTTAGAGTCAAAATTGACAAAAATTGAAGGAAAGGGTTGTATTGGGAAATTGTACAAGTACAAGGGGGTAAATCGATAAAATTGAGAGTACGAGGGGGTAAAGTGACTCTCAGACAGAGTACAAGGGGGTAAAGTGGAATTTACCCTATTTTAATTTCAGAAATAACTTATTAAGATCCTAATGATTTTAAGACGTGAATTCTGATAAAACTAATTAATATATTATAAAGAATTTCTAGAACTCCGTCAAACACAAATGATAAGGAGAAGGGGGATTTTTGCAATTTAAAAGTCAAAAGTGGGGCAATTACAAGATTATGAGAAATCCGCGGGGGAGTTGCAGAATTAGTCAATATTAATAAAAACACTAGTTTCTGAGTCCAAATACAACTAGGAGAGAAGAAGAAGAAGCCAAAACCACCTCTGCGTTGGTTTAGCATCCCTTTATATAAAAGTTGTTTTGTTTGTGAGAGACGAGGGTTTCTGACAAAAGGCCACATGGAGAATCACGATTCGAGCTCCAACAATGGAGTCGGCGGCCACCACAACAAGGTGAAATTGCTGTGCAGTTACGGAGGTAGGATTCAGTTCAGGCCCGCCGATCACCACCTCCACTACGCCGGCGGCGACACCAAATTCGTCACCGTCGATCGCGCAGCCACGCTTTCCGAGATCCTGGCCAAATTAATTTCCCTCTGGCCGAAAATCGGCGGCTCCGATTTCGCCGTGAAGTACCAATTGCACGGCCAGGATTTGGATTCGCTGGTCTCCTTGATCGACGACGGCGATGTGAGGAGCATGCTAGTAGAGTACGACCTCATGCAGATGATTTCCGCCGCCAAGCGGGCGAGGCTCCGCCTCTTTGTATTCGATATCTCAGCCCCACCGACGCCGCCGCCGCCGCCGGTGAGTTCGGCGCCGTCGAATCCGGATTATTTGTTCGGATTCGACGAGGAGTACAAGCCTAGCGTGGATCCTCCGCCGGATCTCCTGCAGATTCCGCCGGAGAATTGGGGGTCGTTTTCTCCATGTGAGGGCAAAAAGGTAATTTCCAAAATTGGGGGCGAAAAAGGAATTGCCAAAAGCCACGTGGACAGCAGGGGAATTAACAGCGAAAGCGTGGGCTGGGCCCCGGTGGTGACGACAACGGAGGCTATTTACCGGGGACCGGTGGTGGTGAACGGAGGAGGAATGTATCGGACGGGGAATTACGCTTATGGTGTGGTGCCCGCCATTGTTACCGGCAACCGGGAACAGCCGGTGTACAGTTTTGTTCCGGTTATCCAATCAGATCAGAGAAAGGTTAATCAACGTAATTAATGACTTATTATTATTTGATTTTATTAATTTAATTGGCTTGGATTTTATTTTTTTTTACTGTTGGGACTGGGAAGTACATAGCAGTTTATAGGTCAGTAAATATTTGGTTTGATATTTTAACTCTTATGTTTTTAACTATTATTATAGTATAGGTTAGTTTTAAGAATTCTATTTGTTCGTAGACAATATGTGAGATAATTTAATAATGTTTTATATTAGTCAATTGTCTATGTTTTAGTTTCTTATCAAAAAAAAAAAAAAAAAAAAGTCTATATTTTAGTTCGATGGGTGTTGGGCTTCAATTCTGAATATTGGCTCTGGCCCGAATGTTCTTAACACTCGGGCCAATTTGCTAATATCGTTCTATGTTTGTTCGATGGTACATCCGATACTTTTTGTCGGGTTATGTCCTATTCAACTTAGGGGTGTGAACGAGCCGAGCTCGAGCCGAGCTCGCCTCTTTTGGCTGGCTCGAGCTCGAGCTCGAGTTTATTTTGTCGAGCTCGAGCTCGAGCTCGAGCTCGTCGAGTTCTTCTTTTTTTGGCTCGAGCTCGAGCTCGTGTTAATTTTGTCGAGCTCGAGCTCGAGCTCGAGCCCAATCCCTTTTTTTTTTTTTTTTTCTTTTTTTAAATATTATTTTATTATTATTTTATTATTAAAAAATATTTTAAAAAATTACAAAATAAACACAAAATTGTGATTATATATTTTTTTAATATTTGTATTTATTTCTATAATATTTTATATTATTATACATTTTTAAATAAAAATAACATATAAAAAATAAAAAAAAATAAAAAAATAAAAAATATTAATAAATCCGGCTCGCGAGCCGGCTCGCAAGCTGATGAACAACTAAAATCGGGCTCGAGCTCGGCTCGTCAGAAAGCTCGAGCTCGAAAACCTCGAGTCCGAGTTCGAGCTTTTTACGAGCCGGTTCGTCGAGCTCACGAGCCGGCTCGGCTCGTTTACCACCCCTATATTCAACGATGAATCCCGTGATTTTTTGTAAATGGTAAAAAATGTTAGAGAATTGTGAAAATTAAAGTATTTTGAGAGAATAATGGTGAAAAGTATATAGAGAATGGTAAAAAATATTTTTTGTTACTTCTCAGTCTAACCCCTATATTTTTTGAAATATGTATAAGTACCACAAAATTAAGATTTTTTTTTTTTAAGCATTTAAAAATTGAAAAGAAGGGAATCAAAGAGAGTATTTTAAATTTGATTACTTTTGTTCATGGATGAGTTACAAATAAGAAGTATAATGACACGCATTAAAAAATTAATGTGATGCAAAGTTATCATCAAATTATTCTAACACGCTGTCATGAAGTATATAATATTACAAAAGATACATATTTTTTGAGTTAATTCAAGATTAGGTATAAATGCATTTATTACAAAGATTTTGTTATGCAATTCTTTCCGTGCGATTGCGATGCACGGGTTGATATTGCGAAAAGAAAGAAAAATTAAATATATGATAATTAAGTTGTATTACAAAAATAAATTACACAATCTTAAAATAGTTAGTTGTAAAATTTAAAATATTTGAAGATAATTAAAAAATAAATTAGGTAAAGAAAAATAAACGAAATGAAAAAAATCCACATTGTTGTGTGTGAGCTAGAGAGATTTTGCTGTATTTTTATGATGAATAAAATTAAAAAAAGTAAAAAACTACTCAACATTTTAGTGTGTAAGGGAGAAAAGGAGAGATTTAAAAACAAATTGCAAAACTAAAAAAAGAAACTATTGGAGTGGATTATGATTTTGCTAATCGATTTGTAAATTTGACTTGCTATGAAAGTCATTGAAGATAAAAAAAGACCGAAAATAGGAGAAGAAAAAAATAATAACAATAATTAATTTAAAAAAAATCATAAATATGCCATTAAAGTTTATTATGTTAACTTTTTTTACTTTTATATGTAAAGATATAAAGATATGTATATGTATATATGATTATATTTAGATGTATAGAACAAGTGGATGATACCTAAACCAAATGTAGATATTGGATAACGTTAATTAGTTGTCAACTGCTCCACTATCACTACCAAAATAAAGAAGAAAATACAAATTAAGCTTAATTAATTAATTAATTCTCAACCTGACCTCACAAACTTTATTCACAAGTTTCCAATTTCAACAAATAATGGTCCGATTGATTATCCTGCATTATTTTGTTACATTAAAAAATATTATATTTTGAAAAAATAAAATCAACCATTTACTTAAAAGAAGGTTAAAAATCAACATTATGTACCAAAAAATGGAAACAAATTGCCCTATAATTGAGGGATCGAAAAGTGTGTTGCCAACTCCTTGCCGGTTTACGAGATGTTACACCCGATATAACACCGAGTAATTTTGAATCATAGATCTATATAAATAATTATCCACTGAATGCATGCAGATATATTTCATCGAGTGTAGCATCTACAATAGGAGAAATTGTAAAGTGCGGAAAGTACTTAAAAATATTGAAAACAAAAAGGCTATTAAATTCTTGATTTTGGAATAAAACCCCTTACATATGAAATACTTTAATACATCATAAAATTAGAACTACCCATGACAATGAAGAAAATTTAAAAGCAATAATATATAGTATATATCATGCATATAAAAATTGCTTTTGAAATAAATACAAGAAATCTTTTTGACTTAGGTGACGCTATTCTAAATTATTGCTCATTAATTATTTTTGTTGAAAACAAAATACCTAATATAACCCTATATTCATCATATTATTTATATATTCATTCATCTTCTCAAACTATAGCTAATCAACATTTTGGTTATCGGGTTTATTAATTCAATCCATCCCAAGAAAAGAAATGAGTGAACCACCAAAATATGCGTATCCGTATCCTGCTCAAGGTATATTCCATCACTTCTTCTATATATATATTTATATATATGTATATATATTATTCATATTAATTTGGTTTTTTTCTATATAAAAAAAAAAAATCGACTTAATTAAATTCGCGCAATTGAAGGTCCATACCAAGGGCCGCCTCCGGTAATGGCACCACCACCACAATATTATGCTGCACCTCCGCCCCGTAAACAAGCTGGTTTTCTCGAGGGATGGTAATACGAAAACTAGTATTATTATTATTATTTTTTTTTTAGTAGTATTAATATTTTTACTGAAGATTTGATTTATTTTTTTAATTTATGTTTTGTTATGAATTGATGACAGTCTTGCGGCCATGTGTTGCTGTTTCCTAGTTGACGAATGTTGCTGCGACCCTTCCATCATATGTTTCTTCTAATTCAATAAAATGATAATTAAACAGTGTATTCATATTTCAATTTCGGACATAATTTTATATGAAATTAATGTTTTCTTAAATTATAAGCATGCATCATGATGTTTATTTAATGATACCCTTCATATACTTTCTAATTTTTTGTTCACTTTGCTTTTGTGTTATATATAAAAGTTCAAGTGAAATAATAATCAAAGATTCCGCTGTAGCACTGGCAAATACAAAAACAATTTATGGTATTGTATCCGGGTTCGAACCCCGGCAGCGGATATTCATTTTTAAACTTTTTTGTATATATTTTATGGTAAAGTTCAGTTTGCACCCCAAAATTATGGGGTATGTATCAAAGAATATTTTTTGACATTTATACCCCTCACTTGTTATATCTATATATAAAAATATAGACAAAACACACCCGCATGGAAAACTTCTATAAATTTAATCCCACAAGTCTCCACCATACCGTTACCAAAAATGATCACTTAAATTAAGATTATCCCCATACGAGGAAGATTATTTTTTATCCAAAATTAAGACTTATCTCAAATCAATTCATTGCCTAAAATTATGATTTTTTTTACTCATGAGCTTGTTTTGTCTTTTGAAGAACTTAATTTTCGAGAAAGAGAGATGCACAAATAAGAACTCATATTGGGGGCAAAGAAAAAACAGAAGATAAATAATAATATATGTAACAGTAACACTAATAAGGGTTAAAAAATAACCCCCAAAAGAAAAAAAAAAAAAAACCTAATAGAATTAATTTTTTGACATTTGACTAGAAAAGGCAGGGGCTATTTTGTATGTTTTGTAATTTAGGGGTATTTCATATATACCCCATAATTCATGGGTGCAAACTGAATTTCCCCTATATTTTATGCAACAAAAATAGTTGGTGCCAAAATTACAAATTTTCCTACGTAATACACACATTTATATTAGCACTAATTATATTTTCTTTACAGAAACAAATAATAACATAAACGATTAATTTGAAGATAAATCGAATAAGTTTTATTCACCACATACATACAAATTCAATACAAGACACATAGACACACAAACAACAAGAAGCTTCAGCTCTCCAACAAAGTAAAACATCATACATACACTTAAAAAAAAATGCCAATAGGTTTTTTATTACATTCATGTTCCGAATATCACGCCACGGTGATCTCGTTCACCACTTGATTCCGGTCACCGCCCACATTTGCTATTTTGTTGCCGCAGCCGCCACCACCACCACATCCACCAGAACCACCACAACCCCCGGATTTCGGCATGTTTCCACATCCCCCACCGCCACCGCCACATCCACCAGAACCACCACAACCCCCGGATTTCGACATGTTTCCACACCCACCACCGCCACCGCCACATCCACCAGAACCACCACAACCCCCAGATTTCGCCATGTTTCCACACCCACCACCGCCCCCACCGCATCCACCGGAACCACCACATCCACCAGACACCACAGTCCTCGCAGCATTTCCATTCTCTTTAGCTTCCCCATTAATAACATCCACTTTCTTTTCCATAGGAGCCACTTTGGTTTCACTCCCTACTACAACAGGGCCATCAATTAGCACTTCTTCATTCGAAACTTCTTTGCTGCCCATAATCAGACCATTGCTCCCTTGTTTCCTTAACACGTCCCCAAGTATAAACGTGATTATGAACCCCGGCAAAAGAAACCACTCTTCTTTAACCTATAATCCCGAAAAGCAACAAATTAAAAAAAAAAGAAAAAAAAAAGAAACAGCCCTGATGAGATGAAATAAAATAAAATTTACCTTGACAGTGCTAGACTTCAAATCAAGTAATGCGACCGCTCTTCCATACGGATCTTCCGCCGAGAATTTGACAGCTGTAATAAGGTGCGGCTCAAGCTTACGCGCAGCTTTATGTTTCTCGCAACCCCTTGGTTCATAGTCCATCCTTGCACCAGTGTAAAGTCTTACCTGTATAAGAAACCAATACATATACTTGATTAAAATATTTATCATTTCCATTTTTCTTATTCTCTTGAAGATTCTCGTCGTAATAATATCAAGAAAAAGGAGAAGAACACACTTACATTCTGAGGACCAATCAGCTCCAAGAGATGTCCATCATCGTTTTTTGTGCTTGGGAGCTTAAGGGACCATGGAGAATTTACTAGTTTCCATTCTGAATCTGCAAACTCAGCTAGTGTACACGTTTCCTCTGAATTAAAAAGGCCAATCGCAGCTTTTCTTCTACATTCTTTCTTCCCCTTCGATCTCTCCAAATCTCTGTGAATGAGATCATCCAAAAACATTAAATTTGTTAAAACCAAAACCATCTTCAAGAAAATATGTACACAAACTTCAAATACCTCATTTGTAGGCTGAGCACTTGATTTCCATCCTCGTCAACCACACGAGTCCAACTCTTAGCAAATTGAGGCAGTGGGAACATACAAGAACTTTTCGAGAGTGGCTTAGAACGAATCATGTGAAGTACATACGGTGATGGGGTAGGTACAGTAACTGATATAGCCACTCGTAAGCCAATCGGTTTCGATTCCCCGATATTTGAACTCGGAACCAATTCCAGCCATTTTTCGACAATAAGATTCGAATCTTCAGACAACAAATCCTCTACAGATATTGAAGCGGTGCCGATAATCTTGGAAGACTTTGTCAATGGCAAACTAGAAGGCAAGAAGGACACAAGTTCGAAGAGAAGGTCACCACGAAGCTGACACTGGAAAGATGCCACTTGTTTCTCACCAGATTCAGACAAAATGGTAAGGCTTCTCTTTGCATTGAAGATCGAATCCGGTTGGGTTTTAGTGAAGGACACAAATAGATCCCCCTTATGCCCCTCTGGTAGATTCCTCACACCCACAAACTCCAACATCACCTGAAAAAACATATAGAAAAATCACAAACCTAAGACTTTTGTCCTGCTCCACAATCATAGTAGTGTGTAGTAAAGTAAAACTCCTTGTGATTGATTACCTCCAAAACTTCCATTGTAGGAAGTGTTATTTTCATGTTCGGATTCGAGGGCACATTCTTGGTAATAATACCCGAGTAAGGAGTAGTTCTTACAGGTGGAGGGGCACTACCCATGTACATTGCTCCAGCTCTCCAATACCTAAAACCATACATCTCCTCAAACGTCTTTGTGGTCCCAGAAAATCCAACATCCAGTTTCTCACCTTTGGTTCTGTCTGAAACATTGTCGTCGTGTTCTAAAATCTTCCCCATTATTTTCAGAAGATCTTCACAGTAAGAAACCGGGTGCAACTGGTGAGTGTGCCAGATCAGATCAATATCGTACGTTGGAACTGAGAAACTCTGTATATCTTTCTCCTTGTTTCTCTTGATTAAGTGCAGAAATCCTTTGTACCTCGCCACAGCTCCTTTGATGTATCGTATGTCGTTCATATGTGGTTTCGCTACCTAAAAATAAAACGGGTTTAAGTAAAATTAACAAATTGATCGTCGAAAAATGGAACCGTATGATAATTTTAGTGGTTAATTAATTACCTGATAGAAGAATGGACCTTGTCGCGTAACAGCTGAGATCAAATCATACTTGGTGCATTTTTCCTCCATCACTATTTGTCCACGCGTATTCATATTATCGTGAATATCTGGGAAACCCAATTCGTAGGGTTCGCCCGAGTATAATGTCTTCCAAATTTCTTCAGTTGCCTTTGTTGAAGTTCCTTCCAATGAAGAAACAACATCCCGATTGTCGAGAATTTTCCCGTACAACTCCTCACAATCTTTTTTGTATCTGACCTGAAAAACGAGATCAAAATTGACACAATTCAATTCGTAGCAACCGCAAGATAGTGGCAAAATCAATTGGTGAACATATATATATATATATATATATATATATATATATATATATATATATATA